GTTATGTATGATTAAAAATTTGAAGAGTTTTACAGGCACAAAAAGGGGAAATGATCATGAAACAAGTGAAAACATTGGTAAAAAAAATCAACCTGAAGATTCTATTCACACCCTCCACAATTGGAGCTGTAAGTAATCTGTTCTTAACTGTGTTTTTTATTACAATATTTTTGAACCTTATTATTGTTATTTTTTGTTTTTGACTTGTTTTTGCATGCAGATTGTTGGTTTAATAATTGGTGTAGTTCCTCAATTTCGAAAACTTCTAATCGGAGATAAAGCTCCTCTCCGTGTGGTTGAGGACTCTGTAATAATGGTGGGGTAAGTGTTTTTTTTAATCCATTGTTAAAAGTTTCATCGATAATATAACTTCACACAAATTTCATCTTATCTTATAAATTCGTAACGTGAAGTTAAGTTAGACTTAAAATTTATCTTTTATTTATATTTATTTATATTTATTTATAAAGTGAAATTCTAAGTGAAAATGAACAAACTTCCATGCAAACTTTTCTTTTCTTTTGTTTCTAGGTATGCATGCATTCCAGTAATGACTTTGTTGGTTGGAGCAAATCTTATCAAAGGTAAATCATTCTTCTTTTATCACAATTAATCCATCTCATAGGGTGATTTCAATCTATAACATGTCTGGGATTGTTTTCTGATTGGGTTGTTCCCTAAAATAATTCTGATTTTGTTTTCAACTAAAAGTTTTAAAAATTTTAACAATTTTTTTCTTTATATGTTATTTCATTTTTTTTATTTTGATTTTCTTTCATCCAAATAATATATATGGATTTAAAAATTACTTCAATAAAATCTGGGTAAATTTTATATTTAAGTATATTATTTTGATGAAAAATATTTTCATTATTTTTTATATAGAAGTTTCAACTTATAAGTCGATACTGTTGTTGTTGATCAGGTTTGAATGAATTTGGAAAGCAATCTGCAGTGATTGTTGGAATCACTGTGATGAGATGTATTGTCTTGCCAGGAATTGGTGTAGGCATAGTTAAAGGAGCTATTCGTTTAGGGTTGATTCGTCCTGATCCATTGTATGAGTTTCTTCTGCTCCTTCAGTTTGCACTTCCTCCTGCAGTAACACTCGGTAAGTTCTTCCCTCAAACCTAAACCAT